GCCATGACAAATGCTTTCCTCTATTAAACCTTCCAGGAAGGCCAAGTGTATCTTGCAAAGCTATCTGTGCTGAGTATACTGCAAGAAAAACCACTTAAGTGTTGATGTACCATAAACTCTTTTATGAAACTGGACTTGATTACACATTAATGACAGTTATTTTTTTCTAGTTAGTATCCTGTTCAGGATATAACAATGGGAGACATCACTGTCAATTGGATCACAATCACACTGAAACACTAAAGCCATGAAGGATAATTTGTGCCTTATGACTCATTTTCTAGCTCCCAAGTATTCTTTTAGATAGGTCATAGATAAAAGTGTGAAACGAATTTAGAAAAAATGATTGATTCGTTTAGATGAGTCTAACTCATTGATGGATTGTCTAGGTTAGCTCCATGAAATGTTTATAGCAAATATTCTTTCTCCAACAGTTTTCTTATCTTCATTCACCCTAGTAAAATACTCTTAGGGAACTGGCAGTCACTGGAAAAAATGGCTGGAGTCCTTTTCTGTTTAAGAAAATAAGAACTAGAGAATATCAAATATTTAGCAAGCTTGGCAAATCAACATTTTCCTGGGGAAATATCTCTAAATGTATAATGGTTTTGCAGTCTCAGATTCAGTCTCTGTTTACAGAACAGAAGAGATCACTCTTTTTACAAATGATATTTCTTTTCCTTTGCTTAGAAGGAATCTAGGCTTCTATTACCCAAAGTGCAGTCCCTGGGCCAGCAGCCTGGGCAGCACCGGGGAGCTAGCTAGTTAGGAATGCAAAAGAACTTTGATCTGCTGAACAGCCTTTTTGGAAAGCATGGAGAATCCTCAAAGAGTTCAAAATAGATCTTCCATTTGATCCCACAATCCCATTACTAGGAATCTACCCAGAAGAAAAAAAAAATCATTTTATCATAAGGACATTTGCACTAGATTGTTTTAAAAAACTCAATTTACAATCACTAGCATGTAGAAACAACTTACATATCCATCAACCCAGGAATGGATTAATGAACTATGGTATGTGTATACCATGAAGTATTATTCAGCCATGAAAAAGATGGAGACTTTGCATCTTTTGTATTAACGTGGATGGAGCTGAAACACATTCTTCTTAGTAAAGTATCATAAGATAGAAAACCAAATATCTGATATACTCAATACTAATATGAAGTCAATAGATGAACTAATAAATGCCTACACAAGAGAAAAATTCAATTCAATTCAAGTTGGAGGGATGGAGGAGAAGAGAAGTGGGAGAGAGGAGAAGGGAGGGGGTTAGTATACTCCTACCTAATGGACATAATATAAGGATATATGGCACACCCCCTGAATCCAGAATACAACTACAACAGAGACTTCACCTAACAAATGCAAACATTGTGACCTAATTGTCTGTACCCTCATATTAATCTGAAATTTAAAAAAATCCATATTTTAACAGGATCTCATGCGGGCTTTGCATGTGCACCAAGGTTTGAGAGATGCTAATCTGGATGGCTTCAATTTGATTCATCCCTGAACCTAATATATGTTAAAAGGGAGAATGTGAAATTAATAAAATTGCCTTTGCAGGAATAAGAACTGATCACCCTTGTAAACTGGGGTCAAGGAGCTCATTGATTTGGGGATGATGGTAGCAGCACTGACATGATTTATGTCTATAAATACAGCATTAATGGCATCGTCAGGATTCTTCAAGCTAGGCAGGTCTAATGCTGAAACTAAGATTTACACTGCTAGGGAAGCAGCCATTGTGTGGCCTGCCTGTCCCGTTTCAGGATTGCCTGATCAGTCCCCTGGCTTGGAATACTCCTCTATGTTGAAGCTGGGTCCTGAGCTGTTGCTTGACCCCAGATCCTTCTTCCTCATTTGGAGAGAACTTGCTCCTATACTGGGTACACAATGCAATGTCTTGTATTGCGTAAGTGTGCATAACAGATGGCCAGGCTTATCCACGTATCTGCCACCCTCTACCACCCAAGGGAATGAGGCCTTCACCAGCAATGCAAGAGGGTGTGGGCATCCATCACCTCGTGTGGACCATCAGAAGGGAGCTTCTAGGCAAGGGGACTGAAGCACACCACAGGTTCATGCTGGTTTCTTCTCCTTCCTGTGAGTAAAGCGTTGCTCCAGCCAGTGTCTCATACATTGACTCCTCCTTGGTAACTCTGAGCCCACAGAGTCATTTTTATGGCTCTTGCTGTCCTCACTTGGAATTGGTAGCTGGATATTCTTCCTCAACCTCCATGTCATATTAATAGCACAGGTGTGGATGCAAAGGCATATTGTTGATGTGGGTGTGAGTGTGCACATAACACCAACTTAGTGATTGGGCCTGTGGGGTGGGACAAGACTTCCCTTCCATTTCCTGGAATCCACAGATTTTGCTCCTACCTCTCTAAATCTCAGGGTTTTTTCTTTGTAAAATGAGAAAATAAAGGTAACTTCAGAGCAGGGTTATTGTGGAGTACATATGAAACAATGCACAAGAGGACTTAGTACACTCCCTGGCACATAGTACCAGGCCCACTATGGGCCTCATGCTGATTTTGTGAGGACTCTTTGCTTATCTGTGGTATCAGATATCACAAAAGGTATGCACTAACTTTTATTTTCTCTTTGCTAATCAGCTTTTGTTAGTGTTTATTTATTTAATGTGTGGCCCAAGACAACTCCTCTTCTTCCAATGTAAGGCAGAGAAAAAAAAAAAAGGTTGGACACCCTGTAAACACTCAACAAATGGCAGCTGCAACAAATCCCTAAGGACGCCAGAGCATTGGGATTATCTGCTCGTCAGACAGTTACCAAGATTCTGCCAGAGGTGGGAGATGCCGGTTCTGTAAAAGCAGCTCAGCTGTGATGGAGAACAATGCTCCCCCAAATAAACCTGCTGGGAATTCCAAATGTCAGATATCTCTTGTAGGACATCTGAAGACAACCAAATTTCCTGAAGAACTAACAACTTCAAAGAAAGCCGCAAAGAGAGGCTGGAGTTAGCACAGAGGGGAAGTGGCAGGAAGATGCCTGCTGTTCCTGCAATGCCCCTCTTCCTTTTGATAATGAGAGTTGCAGCAATGTGTTTTGGATTGACAAGGGTGATGCTGTTGGCCAGGGCAGCAGGTAGCAGGTAGCCCAGGTGGCTCAGGGGTTCTGCACACACCTCTATTTTAATTGATTATTGAATTTGAGCTGGAGGGTCTGAGCTCCTTCCCTGATGCTCTTGAGTAACTGATGCTACCTGGGATCCAGCTGGCAGCTCTACCTCCAGGAGTGATTGCATCGGAAGTTGACTGCAATTAATTATACAATTCTGAGCGCTACAAGTTTAATTCCACTTAAATGGCAGTATGTCTCTGAATAAGGGTGGATGTGAATGGGGTCTCCAAAGCACTTTTGAGTTTTGGGTAGTAGTTCTATGTGAAATATGTGCTCTGCCAACCCTAATGTCAATAAAAGCAATCATGCTTGCTATTAACACTTTGACACTGGACCACCAGTCCATGACTGAAACATGCAGGAGCCATTCTCCCAGGCTTATGGGTAACTATCTGAAATTCCCTTTTAAATGTGCTGCTTGTCCTGCCCAGGGCTTCCAGATGCACAGCCTGTGATTTGCCCTTGGCCCCATCTGCCCTCTCTCTAGCCTCCCAGGACCGTCTCCAATGATGAACCTCAGAGGGTGAGTGACCACTTTTGGAGAGTAATCTGCTTCAGAATGGGTCAGAAGGAGTCAGTAATAAAACAATGTAGTAATAGGAACCTCTGGCTTCCCGATTTGCCAAAATAATCTGACAATAATATCTTCTACAGAGACATAGTGGGATTTGGGTATGCTCAAGAGAAGGTATAAAAGCACTCCAAATATTCATTAGCCATGAAGTTTTTACAGTTACATAAGAAAATAATAGTGCAACTAACTCTAGTTGTCATGGGTCTCTATCTTGTCCCTCTGCTATGAAAAGGGAGTTAATTTAATGGTAAAGAGTCATCACAGAAACTATTAGAATTTCTTTAAGAAAACAATAATGAATATTATGTAGCCTTAAAGAAAGATGGAGACTTAACCTCCTTCATGTTTACATGGATGGAGCTGGAAAATATTCTTCTTAGCAAAGTATCTCAAGAATGGAAGAAAAAGTATCCAATGTACTCAGCCCTACTATGAAACTAATTTATAGTAATAGTTCAACAATATGGGGAAAGGGGAGAGGGAAAGGAGGGGAGGAGAGAGGATGGGTAGAGGGAGGGTGAGTGGTGGGATCACACCTATGGTTCATCTTACAAGGGTATATGTGGATTTTTCTAAATGTAGAATAAAAATGTCTTAACATAATAACTAAGAAAATGACATGAAGGCTATGTTAACCAGTTTAATGAAAATATTTCAAATTTTATATAAAACTAGCACACTGTACCCCACCCCAAAACCTAATAAAGGCTACATAGAAAATTTAAAAAAAAGTGAATGTTAGATTTTTTTTTTTTGCTCTTTCAAGGATTTATTTGCTATAGAATTGCTTGAGCCCACCAATGAGATGAACTCAAGATTCCTGTGTTTAAAAGTTATTTTGTTATTTTTTCAAGTGCTGCAACATTCAAAAGCAATTCTTTTTGCCAGCATTTGGCATGTTTAGAAGAGGTTAGAAAAAGTACCTATGGAATTAGATGTCTAAAAATAGAAAAAAAAAAACCCCAATTTTAACATTCCTCATTTGGATGGGTCCTGAGTTAAAATCATATTCATCTCCAAAAAGAACTATTTCAGGCCAGAAATGGATTTTATAACCACAGATCCTGACCTTGGACTTGACTAGTGAAGATTCCCAGGCACTGGATGGATGACAGGATAGACATGGTTCACTTGGCCAATTCTGGCATGTGCCCTACCTGGCATGTAACAATTTTATAAATATCTTTTAAACCTAAACTGAAATTGATTGTCTTAATCTGCTTCCCAACGCTTTTTAAAACAAAGAAACAAAAATTTTCCCTACAAGATAACATGTTTAAATATTCGTTATCTGTGGACAGATACAGAGAAACCAAATACAAATGTGGATTAACAATTCAGTGACGTACTATGAATCTCTGGATGGCTATGTAAGCTGAGAGAAAGTCCCTTTTGGCTCTGCATTTGCCACCAGAGGTGACCGTCCAGACAGCATCAACCTGAAGAGGGTGTGAACCCCAGCAGCTGCTGGATGGGCTTAAACCGCCACTGGTTGGCTTCTAGCTCTTCTACCAAACCAGCTAGTTTTTCCATCCGAGCAACTTGTTGATCATGTTTCACCTGTTTAAGTGTGGCTGCCACTTGATAGCTGAACACAGATTCGCAGAGGAATCCCTCAGAGCCCTCTTCTAACATCTCTCCGGCTCCTTTGGGGTCGGTGAAAAGTGCTTTCCCTGGTGGGGCAAGGTCTGAGACACTGAAACCCCATCCAGTGACAGAACTTCCACTGACGCCACCAGCTGAGGAGGATGATGAAGAGGCAGCCATTTCCATGACAGAATTTTTACTTCAAACTTGCTGCATGACTAGGGTGACCAGATTTTAACATTTGTAAAGTGGGACAACATGGGGGGGGGCAGTGGGGGGCAGGGCAGGGGACGGGGCCAGCCGGAGCCTGACAACGACTATGCAAACTTTGATAAGCAGTTCTCGATAATCACTTCTCAACAATTATTTGTTATTCTTATAGTTTAACATTATAAAATTAACAAAAATAATATAAAACTCATATTCTGGTGAAATAGCCACATGGCAGCCGAAAACCATATATTCCCTTCCTGTTCTCCAGCCCATTCGTGCATTCTTTCCAAACATCGGGCGGTGGGACGCGGGACAAATTGTTAAAAAGTGGGACTGTCCCGCGAAAAGCGGGATGTCTGGTCACCCTAAGCATGACTGTGTTCAAATCACTTAACTTTCTGTTCTTCAGTTGCTTTATCTCACTGGCTTTGGCACTTTCCCTTACAGACCTGCCCCCAAGGCCAGGTGAAGCACCCAAGCTTACAACGCAGAGAATGGCCACGTGCTCGCGGCCGCCATGAATGTTAGATCTTGTCATGTACTCTTTCTGCATCTATTTATAGGACCACATAAGTTTTCTTTTCTTTTCTTTTCTTTTCTTTTTTTTTTTTTTGAGACAGAGCCTCAAGCTGTCCCCCTGGGTAGAGTGCTGTAGCATCACAGCTCACAGCAACCTCCAACTCCTGGGCTCAAGAGAGTCTCCTGCCTCAGCCTCCCAAGTAGCTGGGACCACAAGTGCCCGCCACAATGCCCGGCCATTTTTTGGTTGCAGCCATCATTGTTGTTTGGCGGGCTGGGCTGGATTGGAACCCACCACCCTTAGGTGTATGTGGCTGGTGCCTTAGCCGCTTGAGCCACAGGTGCCCAGCCGAACACATAAGTTTTCTGCTTAGGCTGCCAAAGTTATGAATTACATCATTTGAGTTTAGATTGTCAAATCAACCCTGAATAACTTAATAAATCTAACTTTGTTGTGAAAAAAAAAAGCAAACAATAATGAAAGTAATGGCTTAAGCCCATGAAATCCAAGCATATGTCTTTCTCATAGTGAGTAATGAAAACGTTAGTCCATAAGGTTCTCTATATCACAACCAATTTGATGTTTCAGATGAATTATATTAATATATTAAAGTTGAAACTAACAGCACATGAAATTCAGTTTAAAGACTGAATTAATTGCTTACATAAATTTCCTCAGATATATTTATGTTATTACAACAGAATGGCCTAGTAAATGAGGTCAAATTGGCTTCCAAATGAAATTTAAAAATAGTCATCATATAAAGCACTTTTCTGTTCAAAGGAAAACCAATGGTTGGGAGAGGAGTATCTTTGTCATTGATCACAGCTTCAGCATTGCTTTAATAAAAACTCCAAAGAGCTGAGCCTGTGAGCTCTCACATACCCTGGAGACAGTTACCTGGCAAACACCCACAGGCAATGCCACAGCAGCTCCCACCACCCTTCTCTCCAGCCCACAGAGATGTGTTCATCTCTTTCAGCTGAAAAACACAGGAACAATCTACAGAAAAAGGTAAATCACTTAGAACTGAAGTGTCTTCTAATATATTTGGGGGGATAAAATAAAGTTTCCTATTTTTATATATTCCTGTCATAAGTCTAATATAACAATGAATAATAATTGTGATTGAAAAAAAATTGGTCTTATAATTCTATATATATATATCTTATAAACTTTATTATAGACTCAAATATAGAAGCTTAACCTGAGTGAGAACTCAAATCTTGATATATAGGCATAGATATTTTATTTTTTTAATGAATAAAATGTAGAATATGGACTATTCAATCAGTAAGCAGCAACCAGCTGTTATCATGCTATATCCAGATTCTTCCACTAGAGGGCTCCTTAACTAAATATATTGAAGATGTGAAAGGTTTTTTTCATGATGAAAAGATCAATTTTTTTTTAAATCAAAAAGATTTTTAATCTGTATCACTACTGTATATAAAGGGAAAGTCATTTTATAGGGAAAATTCAGATAGTTAATTAAAGCATTATAAGGTGAAAGAGTACCACCATCAAAGCACGTCAGAAGCAAAATAAACAATAGAATCATAGTGTTAATACTGAAAGAAGCTATTAGAAGAATAGCAAAATAATGACGTTAGAAATACCCTTATCTTAGTTCAAATATATTTTTTTAAATGTAGCAATCTTAAAAATAATTAAGAGAAACTAAGGCTTAAGAGGGGAAATAATTTGCCCTGGGGCAAGAGCACCAGTGATAGCAAAGTCAAGGTCGTCAGCCCCAGGGCAGACTTTTGCCACTACTCCCTAATGGAAGAGTATTCCAGTATTCTCTCTCTCTTTCTATCTAGGATAAGTAACTGTAACTATAATTATTCCTCTGAGTCTTGAGTCCTAGGGAAAGTCCCCACACTATCCAACTTTGGGCGGGGCAACAGGTAACGCTGCTGTTTTCTTCGCTGTTAGTTGGAATTGTGCCCCTACTGCCACACACCTCTGGCCTTGACTTATGTCCCAGCCTTGTCCAAATGTCCATCACCAGGTGAATGCATTAACACAAGGTGGCCTGTAATAGAGTAATATTCACCAATACAAAGAAGTGGTCTACCGAGGAATGCAATGATGTGGATAAATCCCCAAATCATCACGCTGAATAAAAGAAGCCAGACGCGTAAGAATGCAGACTGTCTGATTCCATTTATCTGAAATCTTAGAAAAGGAAAATTAATCTTTTTGCACACACAAAAAAGAAAAGAAACTCATGGCCTGGAGCCAAGCTAAGAAAGAATGGTCTACAAGTGGGCAGGGGGAGAGTTCTGGGATGAATCTGATAACAGGGGTAGTTTCATCAGCTTCTACATCTATCAGACTGTACACTTTGAAAGGGTGTAGTTTATCTTAAATAATAAAGTTTATTAACAAAGCTGATTTTAAAAATAATCTTATGAGGCAGATGCTATCAAAATCCCCACTACAGTTTGTGGTATTTCAAATGGTATATAAAACTAGTACATTATACCCCATAAATGCATTAATGTACACAGCTATGATTTAATAAAAAAAAATCCCCGCTAGATAGGAAAAAGCAATTACTAGAATATATTTATTAAATAGGAGAAAAAGAGTAATATCAACATATCAATTTAAATCAAATTACATAATACAATACTTAAACTTTTGATTTGAAAGGTCTCTAAATGGAGAAAGATCTCTAAAGATCTCTCAATATCTAAAGCTATTTAGATTTATAAAAATTTAACATATTTTTAAATTAAGGATTTATGCACAAAAATGTACACAAATAGTAACTTTATGTATTCACTCATGTAATCTTGATGTGAGTGATGGTTATATAAGTGCATACATAAAGTTAATATTTATGTACATTACTATGCATAAAGGACAGTCAATAACCACTCCCAGGTGTCATGATTTTAACATACGATCATTATTTTGTCTGTTTTTGAACTTCATATAAGTGGAATCACACACATATGATATGTACTCTTTTGTCTGAGTTTTCTTTCAATATTTTATCTCTGAGAATCATTCATGCTGTGTGTATCAATCGTTGCTTCTTCTCAAGGCTGTGTAGTATTTCGTTCCATGAATGTATCAAAATTCATTTAGCCATCCTGTTACTGATGGATGTTGGGTTGTTTCCAGTTTAGGACTATTGTACAATACAACTACTATGAACATTTCCAAACACATCTTTTGGTGAAAATAAGCCATAATTTCTGGTGAATAACAAAAGTAGAATTGGAAGGGTATATTTTTTTAATCACATGTTTTAGTTTTTTTTTTTTTTTTGATTAGGTAAAATATGTAGTCATGAAATATAACAACTAGTCGATCTTTCCCACAGGGGGAACTTTCCAGAATTGCTGCCCATGAAGTCTTCCAAAGTGGGTTTCAAGGATAATAGCTTATCCAGAAAGTGACTTCGTTGAGTGGTGCATGATGAGTTAAAATACAGCTCATGGCAGGCCTTCTTCCCCTCTGGCTTCCCGTCTCGCATTCTCTACCCAAACATCCAAACAAATGCTTCAGTAATTTAACTTCATATCAATAGCAGAATGTTCTTTTTTCTAAGGAAGTCAGCTGTCTTTTTCTTAGCATTTCTCAGACCAGTCATACTAGCAGATTCATTTAATCCCACCCAAGGTAGGTGGCCACGGCCATTAATTCACTCAATCCATTAACTAGTTTAGGTTTTACATTGAGAAATTAAGTTTCCATCATGACCAGATCTTTTTCCTTTCTGTGATGAACTTTTCTTTCTCTGTTTGAGTCCAAGGGGATCCTGGATGCAAGGGTTACTCATGAACAAAACAATGTAAAGATTTCTTTCTTTCATTTCAATGTTCTAAAACTACGCTATGAATATAGTTCTCAAAGGAAAAATGCTCAGCATATTCGAAGTTCTGTCCATCGAGTAATTTGAAACCACAGGATCTTGGCCCTTTACAGAAGTTTTTATATAACATGTCTTTCAACCCAGACATAAGTGCAGGGATGCCTCAAAGATATTGCAGGTTTGGTTCCAGACCGCTGCAGTAAAGGGAGTCACATGCATTTTTTGGTTTCTCAGTTCATGTAAAAGTTATGTTTATACTATGCTATAAAGGTGTAATAGAATTATGACTAAAAAATAAGGCACATACTTTAATTAAAAAGTACATTGTCTGATGGGTGCAATGCCTCATGCCTTTAATCCCAGCACTTTGGGATAATGCTGAGGTGAAAGGACCACATGAGCCTACGAATTCCATACCAGCCTGGGCAACACAGTGAGACTTCATGTCTATAACAATGAAAAATATTAGCCAGGGGTGGGTGGTGTACACCTAGATTCCCAGCTACTTGGGAAGCAGGAGGATTACTTAGTTCAGAAGTTCAGGGTTGTGATGAACTATGATTCAGACCCTGTATTCCAGCATGGGTAACAAAGCGAGACTCTATCTCAAAAATGAACAAAAAT